TGGCCGACGGCCTGGAGTACTGCCGCACCGGTCTGAAGGCCGGGCTGGACATTGACGCATTCGCGCCGAGGCTCTCCTTCTTCTGGGGTATCGGCATGAACTTCTACATGGTGAGTCATCTGGGCTACCTCATCTAGGTGGCGAACTATCTGAGTGCACAAAGTATGACGGGTTTGTTATAGTTCGTTTTTCTTAAGTTTGCCCCTCACTGTAAACGTCTTTTTGAACACAGCACGAGAATTGCTAGCTGAATTACTGAGAAAACTGGTTAGCGCACATTGCATTGTAGATATGAATAATATTTTCAAAAATAACTTTTGAACACCGACGATTTAACGTTATGTTAAGCGCCGTGCAATTTATTTATTATTTCAGACATAATTCCTGAGAAGTCGTCTATCCCTGTGGGGCTGTAGGTATTGGCAAATACGAGCTAAGAATCTGTGAAATAGTAGAGAAATTTGATCAAATTGATCGTCTGTGAAATCTGGTCAAATCAATGTGCGCCAACCAGTTTTCTCAGTAATTCAGCTGGCAATTCTCGTGCTATGTTCAAAAAGACGTTTACAGTGAGGGGCAAACTTTAGAAAAACGAGCTATAATCCATCTGGCTGCTGCCAGTGGATAGCTGAAATGACGTGAGCAATTAGAAATGTAGAAGTAGATACCGGTGAACAACGAATTGACCGTTTCGTGATTTTCACTTACTAGTACCTTCTCTGTGGATGCTTGCCATTACTTGATAAGCATATCATTCTATCTTGTCTGACGGCCGTGGTATCTATCGCAGGAGATAGCCAAGATGCGAGCCGCCCGCCGTCTCTGGGCCACTCTGATGAAGGAAAAGTTCAACCCGAAAAACGACAAGTCCATGATGCTGCGAACCCACTCACAGACCTCCGGGTGGTCTCTCACCGAACAGGTCAGTCGGACGTCAGGTTCAGACGCTAGGTCAATTACAGGTCACACGCCAGGTTCGGCTCACTGGTAGCTGACTCTATGGAGTGTTCTCTGCAGCTCACTATTCAGTATTAAATACGCAAATAAGCATATGCAGGTGAAGAGATGTAGGACATTGCAAAGCTTTTCTTTGTCCTTTTGACTAAGCTGTCTTTGTTTTATCACCAACCTGACTATCGCCTTGTGGAAGCCGAAAAGCTTGTCATATTCTGCATATTTCCTGAAGAGTTTGGCCATCCGTCCTTGTGCTTCGTTCCTTCATCACCCGTCTCACTGCATAGTCCGCTATCTGCTTCGTGTCTTCATCACGAGTCTCCCGGCGTCTCGCACAGGACCCGTACAACAACATCATCCGCACGACGGTGGAGGCGATGGCGGCGGTCTTCGGCGGCACGCAGTCGCTGCACACCAACTCCTTCGACGAGGCGCTGGCCCTGCCGTCCGTGTTCTCGGCCAGGATCGCGCGCAACACCCAGATCATTCTTCAGGAGGAGACGGGCATACCCAAGGTGGGTCAGGGGAGACCGGGGGATACGGGCAAACGCAAGGTGGGATAGTGGAGATGGGAGTAGATGGGCATACCCCAGGTAGGGCCTTGTCTTGTCCAAGGTAGACTAAAGAAGACCGGGGTAAACAGACATACCCAAGGTGGGCTAGGGGAGGCGGGAACCATCTTTGCCAATTAGTCTGCCTTTTTCCTCCCTCTTACTTTGCCTCATTCCCGACACCCAATCCGGAGTCTGTCTCTGACTATCTCTCTTATATGATGATTGTCATGGTCATCATCATGATCATCATGATCAGCGACCCTGACTATGCCCCTCGCCGTCACCAGGTGATCGACCCGTGGGCCGGCTCGTACGCCATGGAGGCGCTCACAGACGAGATGTACCGGGCCGGCCGCGAGGTCATTGACCAGGTGGAGGAGATGGGTGGCATGGCAGAGGCGGTCGCCTCCGGCTGGCCCAAGCTCAAAATCGAGGAGTGTGCTGCCAGGAAACAGGCCGCCATTGACTCCGGCACAGGTGGGTAAACAGTAAACACGACCCAAGATGAAGATGGGTCGTGGTTGACTGGAAACACAGTGATGCTGGTGTGGACTGTGGTGGAGGATAGAACAGTGGACGGTAAGAACGGAACAGCGGAGTGGGAACGGATAAGTGGACTAGGGGTAAATATTAGTAGAGTGTGTTGACTGGGTATATTTTTTTCGGGATTAATTGCACGGCTGAAGTTATGAAACTAATTTACACGCCCGTCGTCGTGCCGGTCGTCGTAAATCCCCACTGACCAAACGGCCCGCTCTCTCCTTCACCAGAGGTGATTGTGGGCGTCAACAAGTACCGTCTGGAGAAGGAGGAGCCGCTGGACGTGCTGATGATCGACAATCAGCAGGTGTACCGCGCCCAGTGTGACAAGCTGGAACGACTGCGGGCCTCCAGGGACCCGGCGGCTGTCAAAGAGGCGCTGGCGGCCGTCACTGAGGTGGCCAGGACCGGGCAGGGCAACCTGCTGCAGATGGCCGTGAGTTGGGAGAGGGGATGGGAAAGGACGTGAACTGAAAAAGGGTCAAGGGGTTCGCGAGTTGTATGAGTAAGTAGGAGTGGGGAGGGGCAAGATCGTTAGTTGGAAAAAAAGAAACTGAAGAATGTCTGGATGGCAGTGAGGTAGGGAGATGCGTAGAAACGGCAAATCCGTAAGGTTGATAGTCTAATTTAAATTGATAAATAAAATTGTCTAATTTCCATCCTAATGATGCCCGTTGTGATACAACGAAAACGACTTCCGATCCAAACCTGGCTGCTCAACTGAGCCTGCTATCGGCGTTCTTTCTATTTGTACTGTCTGTTACCCGCGTCCTGACGTGCACCGCGTTCTATGTATAACTGCTTTGTAGTGTTCTCGAACTTATATCTCGTGAACCGCGCATAACCCGTGTGTGCTGTATTTTTCTGCCAGGTGGCGGCAGCGCGGGCGCGCGCCACCGTCGGTGAGATCACCCAGGCCATGGAGGAGGTGTTTGGACGTCACGTGGCCACCGATAAGTTCGTCTCGGGCGCGTACAAGTCCGAGTACGCCGACACGGAGGGCCTGCAGAAGGTCATGCAGAAGGTCGGTGATGGACGTGTGGTCCATGCTGTGCTATGTGCTCTACATATTTACGTCCCCGGCTCCGCTGTTCAGGCTCTCTAGTTTTACCCTCACCGATTCAAGTTGGTCAATGTTTCACTTTCCTCTTCTCAATCTTAGCAATAACCGATGGCACGAATAAGTTGATAACTATGTACCACACTCGCAAGTCAATGCAATCGATATATTTTGTAGCATACGCTTTTTTCCGTCCAAGCGTTGTAACAAGGGTAGGCAACGTTGCCTACAAATTTAAATTGCAGTTTTATGGCGGGCAGCTAGGGTCAAATTCAGTCTTCCCCGCTACAATCAGACCGGCTGACCTGACCGGTGTGCCTTAGGTGGAGGAGTTTGCCGAGGAGGAGGGCCGCCGACCGCGCATCCTGGTCGCCAAGATGGGCCAGGACGGACACGACCGAGGCGCCAAGGTCATAGCCACCGGGTTCGCCGACCTCGGCTTCGACGTGGACGTCGGCCCGCTGTTCCAGGTTGGTGAACGGACTGTGGAACGCACCCACCTCCGATCGATCTCATGGATTCACCCTCTTAGCCAGGCAACGACGATAGGCTGGCTAGCAATGCAGCCTAGACCCGTTGCAATTCTCAGAAAGTTTTCGATTGTCAATCTTCAACACAAGACTAGGTCTGTATGAAACCTAATGGATATTTATACCTACGTTAGTCGCTTGCCAATCTCCGAATTTTCAATCTTCCTTCTGCTAGGTCTGCTCCTATCCACGCGCCCCCTGACCTCCCCCTCCCACTGCTCCCACAGACGCCGGAGGAGGTGGCGCAGCAGGCGGTGGACGCCGACGTGCACGTGGTGGGCGTATCGACCCTGGCAGCCGGCCACCGTACCCTGGTACCGGCGCTGGTACGAGCGCTGCGGGAGGCCGGCCGCGGGGACGCCCTGGTGATTGTCGGAGGCGTCATCCCGCCGCAGGACTATCAGATGCTGTTTGATTGTGGAGCGGCAGCCGTCTTCGGCCCCGGTGAGGAGCGGGGGTGGGTTGGTGACATGGTCGGGGTAGTGCGGCTGGGCTAGACCCGGCGGGGCTGGGGCGGGGAAACGGGTGGGAGCTTCTCTAGCCGAGGACGTTGTTGTCAGACATTGGGTACTTGGTCGTTCGGTAATGATCTGGAGTGAAAAAGTTACAGCGTATATCGGGGCAATCGTGTCGGTACATACTACATACGTTCTGTGGCTGTCTGCTTACGCTGAGGCCTGATCGACGTTGCTGATTATCCGTTTTTTTTTTTATCCTAGTTTCTTCTTGCTAGTTCGCATGGGATACAGCTTCAGTGAGGACGTGCAGCGTTCCCTGCCAGCCCAGTGACGTTTCCTGACCGCTCTTCATTCACCGTTGCAGGAACCAAGATCCCGGTGGCAGCCCTGGAGGTGCTCAACATGATCAGCTCCAACCTCAAGAAGCAGCAGCAGACTGCCTGAGCCAGTCCCTTCTCAGGAGACACTGACAAGACAGAGTCTCATCAGTCAGCGATGGCTCAGCGCGCGTTTTCCCTCCGAGCACGTGAAGTTCACTGACAGGTTGGTGCGTGGCCTGCCATTCACACATCATGGCATTGATGTAGTACTGCTGCAATGCGTCCTTACGGGCAACGGAGGGGCTGGTGTATGGTGTATTTTTGTAGGGACACCTTTTGTGAGAGCGCCGTTGCGCGCCACAGGTTGTGGCGGATGTTGTGGCCCCAGAATTGTGATAAAGCTCAGTCAGCTCAGCGGTGGTCAGCTGGCCAGTGACCGAATTTCAGTGTCGGTAAATATGTTGTTTGTGTTGGTGGGAGGTATGGGGACGATCTGCACTGTTTCAAGGGTTGGCGAGGAATCAGTCACGATTCAGACCGCCGCACCTTTCAGGCCCCGGGTACTGGCCATTCATTTGACAATATGTAGACTGACAACTGTATTTATGTAATATGTACAATAATAATGTAGTGCAATACCGTGCCGGTGGATGATGCACGAATAAACGTGTGTGATTCTCATTCATCTGCTGGTAGGAATACACAGAGAGCGCCTGTGGCGACAGGTATTTATTACCCGGGCCGTACAAACAGACACAATGGTGACATGATGGAGTTACGATGGCGACTGAAGTACGTGACGGTGGCGTCACATGACAGTTATACGGCAAACGTGACTGGAGTTCGCGGCGACCATCGTACGGCGATGATTGAAACAAACAAAGTGACTAACTGACAAAACCGTCCAGCGGAAAGACCACGCAACACTGCCGGGAGCAGCACCAGACATGGGCTTCACTGGACTCGCGAGATACGTCGGCATCTCAGTTGAAGAATAGCACTGGCTAGCAGTACCGCAATTAATTATATGCAGGACTCACTAGAAAATGAGCTATGGCATCCCCCGAATCTCAGCTTAGCCGTACGTGCCCTTCAGCTTCAGCTTCCCGTCAGCAGCAGCGGACTGGACTAAATCACGGATCACACTCACAACCACGCTGCACTCTTCAGTCTTCAACGGAACCACCAGGCAGTGGCCCCTTCAGGAAAACTTGATGCTGTTTGACATCAACAGCGTCCCGGTGCATTGTGCATGACTCTTTTCACTGACTTCACTGGACCTCACGTCACTGATCATGACGTCACTGGTCCATAATGGTCCTGGGCCCTGTTTCACCGGTGATAGCAGCACGCTACTATCAAATTGCGCGAGCTGACGTAATGTGATGAGGTCACACTAATGACGTTTCGTGTAATCGGTGAGCTGCGGTTGGAACAGAAATGCTGTCTCGTTGAATTGCGTTTGATACATTTGTTTGATCGCACGGCCGTGAAGATGCTAACAGCAATATTTGATGACATCACACAGATTGACGGCGTCATTGTTTGTTGATGTTTCCATGGAAACCCAATTTGACACGTGTAATAGCAGCGTGCTGCTATCACCGGTGAAACAGGGCCCTGACATCACTCATGGTGGCCACTGGTCATGACATCACTGGTCATATAACCAGTGACAGACTGGGCAGCCGGTACTACCGGCCGAACACAGGCAGTGTTTTCCTGTGTTCGCCCACCGGACAGCGACCACGACCGACCGGGCAGCAGGAGCGCCTCACAGCCCTACCCTGTGTATTTGTGTGCGTGAGATCAACAGAGAACGAGCTTGGCCGGCTTTCCTTCCACCTCTTTGGCGGTGCCGTGGGTGAGCACGTGGTCCCGCTTCAGCTGAGCGAACAGCAGATCTGTCACCAGGAAAATCTGTCGAGAGGAGGAGGGACGTCAGTCACCGGGCTAACCCGAACGAGTTTTACTTTGGGGTTTGGTGGTTTGAATGGCAACAGCGAGCATATAAACAGAAAAGGTGGCCCAACGGTCACCAGAACCATTCAATTCCATCCCTATCTAAAACTGACAACAGTACCGATACCAGGTAAAACGTTAGGTATCACAAGATCGACTGTCATTTGAAGGCATGAAAGTGGAGGAGGCATGGAGACTACAGAAAAGCAGGATGAAAAAAGCCTTCGATCATTTCCACATCGGCCACCCCAGGCTGATCTATCAAAAAATAAATGATAAACCACTCTCCAACACGTCCAGTCACCAGACCTCGGCGTCACATCGCCCTCCCTCTCAGTTGCGCCACTTTCGGCTCACCTGCGCCGCGTTGTAGGCCAGTGTGACGGCGAAGAAGAAGTTGGCGTTGGCTGAGCCCGCGTGGATCCACAGGGTCCACATGACGGGCGCCAGCACCATCACAGACGCATAGAAACAGGTGACGACGAAGCCGTAGCGCGCATGCGGCGCCAGGGGCCGCCAGAGCGGCAGCAGGGCCAGGTAGAGGCCGGCCTCGGCTACACTCGGGTACGACTTGAACGTCACCATGAGCACGAGCAGGGCGAACATGACCAGCACGGGCTGACCGCGGAACCTGGAGGGGGCGGGGGTGCAGGTAAGGTAACTACCTACCGGGTATCACAGCATACATATTCTTCCATTAACTTGTTGATACCTACTTCATTCAACTATGCTTGAATGAATAGCTGTTACCGTTACGTTTATAAATCAGCGGCATCGACGTACATATAACAAATTGAACCACAATATGAAACCTCACTTTTAAAGTCCGAGGATCGAGAGCACCTACCGTAATGTCAGAGGCACCGCGTATATGAACGCGTTGATTTGGAATGTGGCAATGAAGAGCGACTCAAAGTGCTGAAACATCTCGGTGAAGAAGTACCAGAAGAGGCCAACGTTCGGCGACAGGTCCCACGTCCACAGGCTGTCGGGGGAGCCGTCCATAGCGTCACGGACATATTGAAACACGATCATGAAACTAATCCACGGGCATGAATCTCTAAGTTGGTGCAGTGTGCACATTAACCAACATAAGCAAGACGAGTCGAAAGTCTGAACTTTCAACCCCTCCCCCCCCCCATATCCTCTCCACGATCTCCCGGCGGCAGCTGTACGTACATGAAGCCGTAGGTGGACCGGAGGAAGCTCCAGTCGCCCAGAGCGTGGGCCGAGAGCAGCAGCAGGCCGGCCCAGCAGCCAGCGGCCAGCAGGGCGGCCAGCAGGCGGCTGCGGCCGGCGGCGCCGACGGCTGCCAGCAGCGGCGCCAGCAGCACCACCGGGTACAGGTCCAGGTAGCAGCTGACCGACAGACTGCACAGGCACAGCCACCAGCGCTCTGGGGCGCCGGGCGGGCGACGGGTCACGTCGGCAAACGACACATAATTTCGTTGTGAACACAGTCAACACGGTCAACAGTCAACCGCATGGGTGATAACGTCTCGATGCTATTTCACACCGACTGGCAGACTTGCTCTATTTAAACCGCTTTCGGTTAGGAGCATAAATTTTATTATGATCTTTGGAATACTGAGAATTCCCAAACTCCAAAAACATTCAAGGACATTCGTCGGATGTCAGTAAACATTCCACACGTCCGTTAGCCCCGTTCGCCCCGCCATCTCCCCTCGTCCCAGCTCCCCTGTGGTCCCCCAAGTCCTCCATTGACTGGATCTGTTTCTCCCCCGCCCCTCCACTGACTGTACCCTATCCCTCTCGACCTGTCTTCCACTGACTCAGATCCCGTTTCTCACCAAGTCCCTGACCCTCACTGACCGGACCCTTGCCCCTCCCCTGCCCTTACCTGACCGGACTCGTCCCTCCCGCCCACTGACCCGTAACGGCCGCGTAGAAGACTAGCGCCAGCGGTAGCTGGTGGAGTCCTGCCGTACTGAGCGCAGCGCAGCTCACCGCCGTGCACGGGTTGAACAGGTACACAGCGGTCACGATCAGCGGCACGGGGGACGGAGAGGAGGGTGGAGCGGCGCCGGAACGGACAGCTGGCTTCTCCTGTAACAGGGACATGACAGTCATTTCACCATGGATATGTCACACTGTCAGTGTGTAGGTGAATGTGATTTGATTTTTGCATGTGTGCTCTTCAAGATTGGGGTTTGTGGTGGAATGAAATTATACTGAACAAAGAGTATTATGGTGTTAAGAATAGCTACACATTTTTTCAAGTACATTGAGCCTTGACACATATCATACAGAACATAGGTGAGAACAGCATTCACTGACAATTATGTTGCAATCAGTATAGTAAGAAAAGATAAGGAATCATAAGGAAGATGAGTAAAACATGTTTTTCCTTTTTACATGACAGAGCATGAGCTTACCTGTTTCTGAACAAATTTGTCAGCTGTCCTCTTGAGAATGTGAGCCGTCAGTAGATCTACCAAGATGAAGAAGGCAGGTACAATGCCAGCAAAGTTTTGCAGAAGGAGGTTGTACAGTAGTAAGGTTAATGGTGGCTCATGGACCATGTCACCTTCGTAGGGGGATATATCCTGTCCCATCAGGTATGATCCCTCAGTCACTGAAAGAAGAAATACATTTCAACTTCAGTTCATGAAGAACAGTCCTGCAGATACAGGAAATCAAATAAGTACCTGTTTTCTGACATGCTTCATTGATTATTCTTTGGTCAAAGTACTGGTAGCTTATGCTTGAGGTTAGATGTTGGTGCTCGGTAGATGTTAAGTTAGATTAAGTGAGGTAGATAACCTCTTCTGGCACTCCTTTAACATGTTCAAAAGCCTTTCAAATTACAAATAGAATGCAGCAATACAATTTATTCTATAATCTAATTCACAAATATTTTAGTTTGCATCTGAAATCAATCAACAACCTTAAAAAATCGTCAAAGTATTGTCCTAATCTCACCTCTCTTCCATGATGACACTGGAGTGGAAAATATTGTGCCATCACAAAGATTCTTGAAGAAGTCATTGTGCATCAAATAAAGTCTGACAAAAGCTCCTCCAATCAAAAGAAGTGGCTCCATCATCTGAAAGGTTAACAGCAGAGGGCTGTTCACGGACCCTGTGTGCCACCGCGTCCCTACGTCAGCCTTCCGTCACCGCACACAGCGACCGCTGTTGCCGGTCCGGACCGGCCACAGGGGACCGTCCACCGCACGCAGCCGTGACGTCATAACCACCTACCCATCCCCTACCCCCACGCCTGCTGCACACACCGGCACCACATACACCGCACTCAGCAGTTTGCGGTGTCCGTGAACAGCCCTCTGATCAACATTTTGTGCTGAAAATGTTGGCAAAAACACCATCAAAATAATATTTGGTAGTAACATGGAAGACGTCACTGTCTACTACATATGTCAAGACTAATAGAAAGAAATACAATGAAAGCTGAAACCCATTGGCATCTTAATCCCCTATGCAACTTACAAACAAATTTTGATCAGACAAACAACATTGAATTTATTTCCTGAAGGCTGCCTTTGGACTTCCCCAGTTCCTGCAAATCCTTTGACTTCCACTCAGTCCCTCTAACCAGTTCTCATAAAAATTCCCTCACTCCTCCAAGCTTCTGCTGATCCAACAATCACTGCCAATGTTCTCCTCCCTCATCACAACATCAACATGAGTTGGATTTTGGGAGGAGTCTGAAGAAGACAAACATTGATATTGGTGCAAACATCAACTGTTTAGAAGCAACATGAAAACTGACAATGTGTCAGTGTATTGAAGAAAGGTATGTTCATTGTGATTTGAACCATAAAACGTAAAAAAACATGTAATGTGAATATTGCCTGTTGAGACATCTGGCTATTGCAATTCGAACTGCTGTAAGGGGAACAAGTAAAATTATTATATTCCCTTGTAATTGCCAAAGGTCTCCTAGCTCTATAGCTTTGGTCTAGACTGCAGCCTACCCATAAGTACCTACTTATCATTTGTCACCAAATGCTTGAAGTTTGAACCAAATGTTTTAAGCTAAGGCATGACAATTAATCATTCTCCTTGCAACATAAATAAGTTCATGTTTGTGTTGCCTACATATACATGCACATCAATATACAAAATGCATACATTACCTATGCCAAGGCTATACAAAACCTTTTATGCCCCCTATCCTACATGTATTATGCCTCGTAAGTCATAACCTTATCAACTTGTGCACCGTTTGACTTCAACACTTCAGCTTTGCGGCGGCCAGGGCAGTACATCAATATCTCATATGTGGCTGCCAGCGGCGGCTATGTTTTAGGGCCTTGGTGGCAGCTACCGGCTGTTACGGACTAGCAAGACTAGGGAGAGCCGAGAGGTGTCCTGACTTAGCGCGTACTGCGTATTTGGAGACTGAGATGAAATCACAGCAAAAATTGAAATGGATTAAGGAGACAGCCACCTGACCTCAATATCACTCCTGATGCTTGTAGGTATGACCAAGGTATGAGGTTGTCGCAGATTCTTTTCTAATTTTTAAGTTGTTAAATGTTACTAGCTTGGTTACTAATTTTTGTTGGTTACTTAAGGATTTGCTAGGGATTACGGCTTGGTTGGTTGGCTTGGGTTAAGCACCATATCCGGTGAATCAACTGCTAACCGGAACTCTCACGCTCTTGCTCACGCTGTTCCAAGCGGTCAGCCTCAAGATTTCTATAGATAGTCAGGCTTGGGTCAGGCAAAGGATTACGGCATTATTCAAAGTATATAAAAACACCGCATTATATATATATATATATATATATATATATATATATATATATATATATATATATATATATATATATATATATATATTCTTTTTGCTATCTTGACCCATAGATATTCTTGCTTGATCTGACACCATCACCATTGCCAGAAAAAAAGACGACACAAATGAATGTCCTATCTGCGCTAGTGCTGTCTCAAAACAGTGCTTCCATATGCGAATTGGCTAGCGGAAGAGAAAGGATTTTTTGCACCTTTGAATCTCTGACCGCGTGTGTAGTGGCTTCAGCGGCTTCAGCGCGTCGTTTGGTGACAAAACACAGTGATAAATCACAAATCATTTTGATTAGTTTAGTAATCTTATGACCAGATCTTGTGACCAAAACAATCAGCGTCCAGCGATGTGCGTGAGTGCCAGGGCTGCGGAGTTGATGATGGGACTTTGGTGACTCCGACTCAGTCTCAGACTCCACCTTCCTAAAATTAGCTCCGACACCGTCACCGACTACGGGTAAACAGTAAACTGTGGACTCCGATCGAATCCGACTCTTACTCCGACTCCGCAGCCCTGACTCAGGCCTGCGGGCCTGACAGGCGTCAGGCAGGGTCGGAGTCTATGAATTTTCGGTGACTCCGACTCTGACTTCCAAAATCGACTCCGACTCTTACCCAATTCCCATGGGCGTAACCACCGGGCTGGAACGCTGGAAATTCCAGCCCATTTTTGGGATGCTGAAATGCCGCCCCCGGTAGAGGAAGTCTACAATTGCGGGACTCGCGGACTTCAAAACGAAGCAAAAGAAACGGCACTGCTCGGTCCACTATACGCCTGACCTCAACGTACCGCTCCTCACTACTCGTGCCCTTTACACGCCGCCCCTCCCAGATGTCCTTCCGCCCCCCGCACCGACTCCCCCTCAAGTTCCTCGGAGCTCTCTATGTGCCGCCCCTCACAGAACCCCGTCGCCCTCAATGTGCCGCCCCTCCGCATAATGCTCTATCGCCGCTGTGCCGCCCTCCCCAGATGACTTGCCGCCCCTCCCCAGAGTACCTCGGCGCTCTCTACATATGTGCTGCCCTCGCCACAACTTCCCGCCGCCCTCAATAAGCCGCCACTCCCCACAATGCTCTATCACCATATGTGCCCCCCCCCCCCGAGGTGCCTCGGCGCCCTCTATGTGCCGCCCCTCACCACAAAACCCCGCCGCTCTCAATGCGCCGCCCCTCCCCACAACGCTTTACCACCGTCTGTGCCGCCCTCCATAGACGCCTTGCCGCCCTCCCCACAGTACCTCGGCACCCACTATGTGACGCCCCTCGCCACAACAACCCACCGCCCTCAACACGCCGCCCCTCTCCAAAATGTTCTGTCGCAGTAGCGCCGCCCTCCCGGCTCCCAAGGCACTTTGCCGCCGCTACCTGCCGCCCCTCCCCAGACGCCTCTCTGCCCTTACGTGCCTCCCCTTCTCAGAATGCGTCGAAACGTTTAATGATTCGCCCCTCCCTATAACGCTTCATCGACATCTGTGCCGCTCTCGGCCCGGGGGGGGGGGGGGGGGTCGCGCCTCCCCCTGGCAAATATTTGCGATAGCTCAGTCAGGGGTGCTTAAATTGCTGCTGTTTACATATACTACTCGTAACTACGCATTGACTTGGCGAATTGCGATGAAACGTGTCCGATATAGGTGAACATCGTGCGGACCGGGGGATCCATAATTCCATGGCTAGGTATCACAGTTTGGTTGCTCCTCTGAACGTGCGCAAGTGAAGGACGTGCGCACGTTTTGGCGGGCTCTGTATGCTGCCCAACACAAAGTGTTACATTTTGGGCTCGATAACTCAAAGGGACTCGCCTAGCGAATTCAGCCCATGAGAGCGTCAGGTGAGACGCTCTGATCGCAAACAACCATCGAAGCCGCGAAATGGCCCTGTGTGATCGCTTGATGTGAGCCTTCCGGGCCAACGAGTAGTGTCCTGAGCGCGCAGCGAGACTCAGAGTCATCTGAAGCTGAGCACTTGAAAGAGTCCTCGGTCTACTGTGGGCCCTTGAGTGGGTGAGAGGTCTTTGGCTGGATCCCGTCCTGCAGGCTCACGCCTGGAATGGGTCCTATTTAAGCAGGCTCGAAAGCTTAGGGGCCATCAGAGGCCGGTGTGGGGCTCTGAGAGTTAAGCGTGGCTGCTTAAAAGTTGCGTACTGCTTTCAGAAGGCCTGTGCGTTGGGCACCCAAAGACCAGCGTGGTGCCTTAGAATGCCAGTGTCACGCCCTCAGAGATGCACCGGTCAAGCCCTTTGAGGTTCTCAGAGGCGTCGGTGTGGGGCTCTCACAGGCGAGTGTGTGATCCGTTGAGGTTTTGGCGTGATACCTACCCTCAGAGGCCGGCGTGGTGCTCTTAGAAGCTGGTGTGGGCTTCCAGAGTCTTCAGCGTAGGACCCTCAGAGTCACCGTTGAGGACTCTCAGCGTCACCGGTGAGTGGCCGGACCGTGGGCAATGAGCCGGTATGGGACCCTCAGAGGAAGGCACCGGTGTGAGACTCTCAAGAGAGGTCAGTGTGAAGCCTTTAAAGTTGCCTGTGTGATGCAATGGGTGCACTGGCGTGGCGCCCTCAGAAGGCCGGTATGGGATTAAAGCTTAGCGAGGTGATAAAGGACTTGTGTGGTGCCTTCGGTAGGACCCTCAGAAGTACCGGTGTAGGACCTTCACAGCCACCGGCAAGGAGCCTTTGGAAGCATTGGTGTGGGGCCCTCAGAAGTATTATTGCTGACTGAGGCCAAAAAGGTGCCGGTGTATACCCTCAGAAGTGCTAGTGTGAGGCCCTGAGAGACGCTAGTGAGGGTCCTCACAGGCACCGTTGTGGGCCCTCAGAGACACTGGTGTGGGGCCGTCACAGACGAATGTGGGGCCCTTAGAGGCTTGAGCTGCTGGTCTGAACCCTTTACAAGCCAGCAGGGGGCTCTCAGAGACCAGCAAGGGGTCCTCAGACCAGCAAAGGGTCCTCATAGGCCGGCGCTACCTTCAGAAGCCCTGTGGGGTCCTTAGAGACCGGTATAATACTTTCAGACGCCGTTGGGGTACTCGAGAGTCGCCGATGTAGGGCACTCAAAAGTCACCGGTGGGTGGCCGTCAGATGCGCTGGTATGGGGCCCTCAGAGGCGCCGATGTTGGGCCCTCAGAGCTGCTGATTTAGGTCCTTATGAGGCACTGGTGTGGGGCCCTCAGGGGTGCCAGTGTGGGGCCCTCAGAAGCACTGGTATGGGGCCCTCAGAGTTGGCAGTGTGGGGCACTCAGAGGCGCCGGTGTGGGACGTGCACAGTCGCCGGTGAGGCCCTTTACAGGCGCCAATATGGAGTTCCTCAGAGACACAGGGCCATCAGAGGCGCGCATGGGGCCCTTAGAGCTGCTGTTGTGGACTCCTCATAAGCCGACAAGGGGATCTCAGAAGGCGATGGTGCGTTGAGGAGCCCTTTGGGGTCCTTAAACTCCGGCGTGGTTTTCTCAGACGCCGCTGGGACCCTCACAGTCACCAGCGTGGGGTCGTCCGAGGCACTGATGTGGGGCCCTCAGGACCGCCGATACAGGGCCTTTAGAGATACCGGTGTAGGCCCTCAGAGTTGGGGGGCGTGGGACCCTCAGATACGCCGGTTTGGGACCTCGTAGGCGCCCGTGTGGGCCCTCAGAGTCGCCGTTATGGGGCCCTCAGAGAAACTTGTGTGGGGCTATCACAGACGGGTTTGAGGCCACTAGAGGTGGCCGTAATAGGCCGGTAAGGGCCCTCAGAGACCAGCAAGGGGCACTAAGAAGCCGGCGTAGGGCTTTTATGGGGAACTTTGTGGCTACTTAGGGGCCCATGAGATGTCCTTACGAGCCCTGTGGGGCACTTCTGAGTCGAAATATGACCAGAAATATGGCCAGTTAAACCCCAGCAGCCCATTGGCGCCACAGGGCCCCTCGTGCCCGTGTGGGGGACCTTCGAGACCGGTTTGGGCCCTCAGAGGCGCCGGTGAGGGCTATCAGTTGCCATGACGGGGCCCTCAGAGAAATTGGAGTGGGAACATCACAGACGGATGTGGGGCCCCTAGAGGTGGCCCCTAATGGGCTGGTAAGGCCCCTCAGGCTCGTTAGGGCGCTCTGGCCGGTAAGGACCCTGAGGCCGGTAAGGGCCCTTAGAGACCGTTGAGGCCCCCTCGCTTTCGACGCCCATGGTCAGACTCAGATCCCATTGCAATTGAAGTCACCATCCTCCATGGTAGTAGCAAAGTCAAACTGCTAGCAACGGGCTGACCACCCATCTTACGCATGCATATCTACCGCATGAAGTACCAAATCTCAAAGACCAGAGTTGTGGCGTGTTCTCTGCGTGTGCCCCTTACAACGTGTAGTCAGCTGATGAATGCTGATTATTGTTCTTCTTTCCCAAAGCGGAAGTACTTGATGCACAAACAACAGTGACACGGTAAAGGCCCTCAAGCACTCACCTCCATGACTCCCAAAACATAATTGCCGCCCTTCCCTTGGCATTTAATGCCGCCCCCGGAGGGCGTTATTTCCAGCCCATTTTTTAAGGAGTGGTTACGCCCCTGCCAATTCCGGTCAGAACTTTCGACTCCGACCGACTCCGACTCCGGCTCCGCAGCCCTGGCTGAGTGGTGTTCCTGTTCCCACTGTGCGGTACAGCGGCGTATTTAGAAAATCGCGAGGGGGGGGGGCAAGGGTTTGGAGGGCGCCACCTCACCCAAGGAGGGCGCCATATACGGTCGCGAGATAAAAAATCGCTCAGTGGGGGTTGGGGGGTTGGGAGGCGTTTTTTACCATGCCACCAGTTTTTTTTGCGTAACCTCGTATAGGTCGTGCTGCATTGATTTTGCATCGTGTGTATTCTTTATACTTCAGGTCACAAAAGGTCAAGTGTTCTTGAAATGCTGCGCCGAAGGCGCGCGAAATTTTTGAAAACAACCTTTTCCTCCGCTTTTTAGGCACGCCTTTTATACGATCACTGTTCAAAGCTCCTCTCGCTCTTTTACCA